TTTGTGTGTGGTGTGAGGTACAGATCTTGTTTCATTTTTCTGCAAATGGATCTCCAGTTTTGCCAGCACCATTTATTAAACAAACATTCTCTTCCCTATTTAATGGATTTGGGGCCTTTGTTGGTGTATTTTTAAGTAAGACATAATCATTCTATCTCATTAGATACATACATACATTCCCTTTCTATAAGCATTTTATATATTGTGACAATTATCTTAGTAATCATTTATAGTATTATAATGTACAGTTTTAAATTAAAATAATTTTTAATCATTATGATTTATAGTGACTATAGTGCCTAAGGAACTTGACTGCTGCTAACCAGAAGGCTGGTGGTTCAACCCAGCAGCCACTCCTCGGAAGGAAAGTTGAGCAATCTATTTCCATAGTGATATCTCCTCGGAAACCCAAGGAAGGGGTCGATATGAATCAGGTTTGACTCGATGGCACATAGCAACAACAATAACAACAACATAGAGTATTTTACAAAGGACTATATCATAATTGACAATTATTCTGAATGAACATATTGGTTACTTTTCATTTTTCACTGTTAAAACTAAATGTAGTGGAGCTGTTATTAAGGTTTGCTATGTCTACATAGTTGGGATAATTCCTTAGGAAATTAGCAGAAGTAGAATGAAAATGGGTCAAAAAATACACATTTTTAAGATTCTTGACACAAATTTCTCTAAGGGAGAAATTTTACTATTGTGAAATTATACTATTGTGTGCTGCAGTAATGTGTTTGCCCCTTTATGTATTGGGAACTTCCTTATAGCTGATTCACAAAATCTACTTTTATAAAATAGAAGCAGTAATTCTACATTTAATATGTATAGATATTTTCTCAGTTTGTTATTTGCTCTATTTATTTATACATATTTTTTAACTTTTACTGTGAATTGGCTCTGGTAGCATAGTGCCTAAGGCACTTGACTGCTAATCAGAAGGCTGGGGGTTCAAACCCACCAGCCACTCTTCAGAAGGTAGGTTGGGCAATCTACTTCCATAGTGATACTGTCTTGAAAACCCATGGAGGGGTTGCTATGAGTTGGGTTCTACTCGAGGGCACATAACAACAGCAACAACATTGTGAATTGGCTGAAAGTTTACAGAGCAAATAAGTTTTCTATTCAGCAATAACAAATAAGTTTTCCAATCAACAATTCATGCACATTTTGTTTCATGGCATTGATTGTTTAAGAGTTCCAGGCTCTCCATATCCTCATAAGCATTTGTTGCTTTCTGTTTTTTTGAACTTTGCTATTAATACTAGGGTTATGAGTTGATATCTCATTTTTGTTGTGATTTATATCAAGGGGACACACATGGTTTAAAATCAGGAATGGTGTGAATTAGGGTTGTGTCCTTTCCCCGTACTTATTCAGTCTGTATTTTGAGCAAATAATCCGAGAAACTGGACTATATGAAGAAGTATTCAGCATCAGGCTTGAAAGAAGATTCATTAACAACCTGTAATATGCAGATGACACAACCTTCCTTGCTGAAAATGAAGAAGACTTGAAGCACTTACTGATAAAGATCAGTATGAGTTAAACCTCAACATAAAGAAAACAAACATCTTCACAACTGACGAATAAGCATCATTACTATAAATGGAGAAAAGATTGAAGTTGTTAGGGATTTCATTTTACTTGGGTCCACAATCAACACCCATAGAAGCAGCAGTCAAGAAAACGATGTTATATTGCACTGGGCATACGTGCTGCAAAAGTCATTTTTAAAGTGTTAAGAAGCAAAGATGTCACTTTGAAGACTAAGCTCTTCCTAACCCAAGCCATGGTATTTTGGGTCACCTCATATGCATGTGAGAGCTGGACAATAAGGAAGACTGAAGAAGAGTTGCTGCCCTGGAATTGCAGTGTTGGTGAAGGATATTGAAAATACCATGGACTGCCAGAAGAATGAAAAAAAATCTGTCCTGGAAGAAGTGCAACCAGAAAGCTCCTTGGAGGCAGGAATGGCCAGACTTCATCTCATCTGCTTTGGTCCTGTTGTCAGAAGGGACCATTCCTTGGAGAAGGTTATCATGCTCGGTAAAGCAGAGGGTTGGTGAAAAAGAGGAAGTCCTTCAATGACATGGATTGACATAGTGGCTGCAATGATGGGCTCAAGCATAGCAAGGATTGTGAGGATGACACAGGTATGGGCAGTGTTTTGTTGTGTTGCACATAGTGTCACCAAGAATCAGAGTCTACTCAACAGTACCTAACAAAAACAACAACAATACCTACAGCTCTGATGGTGCTGTATTTAAAGCATTCTGCTGATAAGCAAAAGTTTGATGGTTGGAACACATGAGCTGCTCTGTGGGAGAAAGATGAGGCGGTCTACTTCTGTGAAGATTTACAGTCTTGGAAAACATATGGGACATTTCTACTCTGTCCTATAAAGTCACTATGAGATAGAATCTACTCAATGGCAGTGGGTTTCATTTGATTTGGAATGGCTAATGATTGTGAGAAGCTCTGGTGGCAT